ATAAACAAACCGCTAACAAATCGGGTAGCTTACAGGATTTGAGATATCAATGTTTTGTAGCAGGATAGTTGTGATAACACTCTTAGGGCTATATAAACACCTGCTTAGCACACTTCCGTTCATTCCACATGGTGCTGCAGTGGCAGCTGGAGGGCAGTGGAGAGAGGAAGGGAGGATGAGGAAGGGAAGCGAAAAATCTACCGTCATATCATGATTGTGTCCCTTCTACTGTATGAAACACCATTGTGTTGCATACGCGTCACTTCCAGGAGGTGTTGGTGTCACAGGAGGAAGGGACCATAGCGGAGGATAGAAAGCTTGCGCAGGAAAGGAAGGTCCCGGCGGTTGACGGGGGACTAATCTGGTACATATTGTAGCTAATGGATCGCGAAGCTCCGAGCGTGCGTGGTCGAGACGATATAAGAAGAGAATTTCGTCCACTCCCGCCCTGACTTCTTGCATTTCCTGGGCTTGCGCTCCATCTGAACTGTGTTTTCTGTAATTTCGACTCCACAACGGTTGGGCCAAGGTGTTTGGTGTGCCTTTTACCACTTGAATGACCCAAAGATTGAAATAAGTTTGGATGATATCGGAGTCAAGTCAGTCATTTCTGTTATCTTGTCCGTGGTAGAGAGCCTAGAGAGTACTCCTTTGGACTTCAACCGATGGATGAGATAATAGGTAAACGCTCATTTCAAGTGCACTTTTGATGACCGGTGTATGCCCTACATCACGCACATCCTGCTCACATCCTAGGCAATTTATGGCATGTGATCGTCCACCCTGGGCTCCTACACCCTTGCGCCTAGGAAAGGATGTCCATACCCTAGTTCAGGACCATTTCCTTGGACCACAGCAGGCCGAAATCTGAAAGCACCTTAGGAGTACTTCCACACTACACCGGTCCTTATCAGAAGTAATTTGAATGAATCGATTACGTGTCATGAAACTCTTATCCTTATTAGTATATTGGAGAGCACAGTGGAGTGCCCCCTTCCCTCCCCCGCCCCCCGAAATGGAGTTTCACCAATGGTCGGTTTATTAACATCAAACCCGTGAGAGAGATGAAATATTGACTTGTGATTTCTTTAGAGCAGCAGGAATATCTGATCCATGCTGCATCTGTATGTCTTTCTGCCTTAGAGAATACAGTTGTTAGGAAAATGTCCAGAAGGGCTACAAATGTGTGCGCAGGTGCTACAGAACGACAAGAATCTATAGATTGGCTTCTGATAGCTGATTCAAACGGCTATGCGAGACTTTCTCATACAGCTACCCTACCCTCACCCCTCCCCCTCTTCCACTCGCAAAAATCCTTAGCGAGGTCATACTTCGACATAGCGGAGGCATTTGATAACCGTTCAATAGAAGCGATCTTTTAGTTAACAGCGCCGTATTAATTTTCCGATTTGGTGAATTTAAAGAAAGTAATGGCTCACGAAGTACAAAAATTCGCACATTTCAAAAACTTTAGCTGGAAACGGAAAACTGGAAGAACTGTTACACATTGAAATCGCCGCCGCCGTCTGTCACGAATGCTGGCGACGGGAACGATTTCCCTTGGTTTCAGGAGTGCAGTCACCTTTTGGCTTATTGCACTAATATCTCACACCTGTGCTGCATCCTATTCTATGGATCGTTTTGTCTCATTTCTTTATATCCAACGCTTTCATCAGACTCTCTAATGCGTAACCTAGTACGTGGTCGCCCCCAAGGCGCAATTCTTCACTGCGCTTTCTGTCTGCCTGACCTATACTTTCACTGTCCATAGTGGGTGATTTCGTAAGTTTGATTCCCTTCGGAAACTGAATTTCCGTGCATGAAATTTGGTATGTTGATTCTAGTGATCAACTGACATAATATTCATGTTGGGAAAAGATGCAAAAGATTTTTCGGGTAGGATTCCTTCAATGTGCCAGTTTCGACGTACAAGAGATTTCATAGCAACTCTTCTAGTCCACAGCACAGTACTACAGTTCTCAACCCAATTTTGGAGGAAACCATAGCCATCGAAAGTCCAGAAACCCGCGTATGTCATCTATCTTACGGATTAACACCTTTAGAGGTTAAAGTAATTCCACTTTTGCTTGACAAATTGTGTTGTACATATTTGCAGACACTGTGACACCCAACCTTAGATTCTTTATTGAGAATAAGGGTTAATGCACATGGACCTCTACCGGTGGAGGGAGGGATCGTACTTGGAGTTTTCTAACGGCTTGCTTGACCCTTCCTGCCACTATCAGCTGGAAACCTCATTCCTGTGGAACCGTGCCCTTTGGAGAATTCATAATATGTTCATGTTGCAGCGTTTCCCAGTTCGATCGCTTTTGTGACATTGAAGAATCAGTGCAGGCGATCGCTCCCGTCGAGTCCTGTGAGTCCTCGTGCATCACGATATTCGAGCCTCAGTATTTTGGCGGTGAGCAAGTGTTTTCTTGAAACTTCCTGATAACAAGGTAATGCGGTTACAGGATTGAGATCTCCTCATCGCCCCTATCTATTCTTGCGCGGATGTTCTTCGAGACTTTTGTCTGCGATGGAATCACCACCGCGTGAAGTTGACTTTCTTCATCGTGCTGCTATCTGTGTTAGCTTACCACTATCTCAGATTTACCCGAGGGTCTACACTAATGAAGTTGTTGAGGTTAGTGACTACCATTGCCTTATAACCAGTTAATCTTCTACTCACAATCAACATTTTGCTGAGATAGCGAGAGCTTCGGTCTGAACAAGATTAGTAGTAAATCTTGACTTGATTTGTTGCGTTTCCCAGAAAAATAACCCTAAAAGCATGACTCCCACTTTGCCGGTGACTTCGAGAGTAGACGAATTACCTCTAATATGAAGGTCGTTCAAGTGAGCTCATACCCTAGCATCCCACCGGCGATTCAGCTTAATTTGAGTATAATTATCAGAGAAGCTTCAAAGCAAACGAACGGCACAGCATATAACTCGTTCCTGTCACCTCGGGTAACCCATTCAGAACCTCGAGCTCGTTTTCAAAATAAGATATGATGCATCGAAATTGGGATTATCGATAGGAAGCTACCGATTGCACGCCAAGTACGCGTCATGCGCCAGTGCGCGTGTTGACGCTCTTCACTCTCTCCGCACCGTGCGCACCGTCCACACGGACCGCACCGCGCAAAGTATGAAGGCAGCCCAATAGCGTGCTCGCGAATCTCCCGCCGTTGCTTTCCAACCGATAGGATGACCCCTCACCATCTGCCTCTAGCCGCTCTACCAGCCAATGTTTAAGAGGGGACGATAAGAGTTGCATCCAATAGGATAATCGTACGAGCAGGCCGAGCCACATTTATCGATCTAAGCCGTTACCTCATTGTTTTTTCTTCAGTTCCCACACCTCCTGCGCCCTTTGCAGCCGATTCTGATTTGAAGGCCTTTCAATCATCTTCCACATCGAATTAGATGATGTAATGGGATCTTATCCCGTAGGTTGAACCAGGCTTCGTCAACAGCGTACATCAATGTTGGAGTATGCCTAGAAAGTGCGTTCAGCAGAACTTTTCTTTTGACCTATTATGTTCAGCTAATTTCAAGTAGCAAACTTCAGAACATTTGAGGGCACTTCCACATAAGGTTCTCTCAGAAATCACATTGCAGGTGTGTTCATGCGTCATGAACGGGTGTAACTTCCGGGTCCAGCCCAACACGTCGCCTCAAATGTACTTCTCTCTACTGGTAGTTATTGTTCATATTAACGTGTTCTTGTGAATGTGGAAAACACTTCCTTTCCTCGCCGAAAACTTTCCAACCACTTATTGTTGAGTGTCTCAAACACGCGACATTTACATCCGGTCCTTATTGTTAGATTATATGATACATCTACGCTTGCTCTTCACTAAAAATGCCTTAAAAAGTTATTCAGAGCAACTACATCTGATTTTATTATTTATACTTGATAAATTGAAATGTTTTGTTGCCATGTCTGATGTCAGTTCAGTTTTTGTTTGCGATCAGGTTTGGCTCGCTCATTGAATTGGTCTAATACGGTGATTTTTATGATATCGCTTTATAATGTGGAATAATATGTGTCATCAATTATGCAGCTACAAAAATACGGTTCTTCTGGATTCACGAAAAGTATTAGTATTCAAGGAGTATTCCTTGACTATCTGGTGTGATGAGCTCATTAGCCATTCCGTATTGGGGTATATTGGTGCATCAAAAACAATCCAATACGACGGCATAAGTAATCCGATCAACCATCTGTATCCTACATCATCTGCGTAGTATAACTATAACTCCCCTTTGTTTTACCATATCGTCTGAGAACAAAGCCCCCGATACTGCATTGACCGACTCTTGCATGTCACAGAAGAGCAAATACAGATTCGGCCTTATCACAAGAAAGAACATATCCGTGCATTCCAGAAGAAGCACGGCTTCGCAGATGATCACAACTCCCATACCGTTGCTACGACCTTTTTCTTGGCGAGCCCTAGGAGCAGGGCCAACCCTATCGTTGGTACTTTTTGCAATTTTTTACCACCTCCTCCTCCTTCATTGGCGATTTCATACGACCCCCCCCCCCCGCTATGTAATACTCGTGGTGGGCAAGGGGAGGGAATCCCCCGGGTGCGTGGACCATTTCGCTTCAGCTTCTACACCCAGCCCGGAGCGTCCCTCCCCTGCAAAAAAGTTGATAACTTCATGCGATATGAACTGTCGCACCGCACTCCCCCTCTTACCGGTAAGACCCAAAAAACCGATAGGTGCAGTAATATAAAAAGTGGAGGTAGCAAAGGAATGGAAACGCGTATTGATCGCGTTTTGAATGTGCTGAATCGCGCCCTGACGATGGAGCGCGTTTGCCGATCGGGAACAGGTGACGAACGGGGATATTGAAATGTAGACGAATTTTTCTTCGTTAAATTTCAGGTACTTCGGAGATGGAGGTGGATTTTGGATCATCGAGGCTCAGCCTTTTTAATTGAAGTAAAGCTCATATTTGTTGTCGAACGACTTGAAATAAACACAGTTACTAAAAGCAAGAAATAAAGGATAAAAAGGATAAAGCATTTGCCGTTGATCAATCCCTTTTTGGGATGCGGCACGCATTCTACTTCCATTTGTACATTCGTAGTGGCGTTTGAATGCGATGTGGCCTATACAATGACTTGGGGCCAGCCGATGTACAAGTCAGTGTTTTTATCCTCCCAGACAAGTCTGGTACCAATTAACCGACCCCGGAGGGATGGAAGGCTTGGTTGGCCCGGGCGACTCACGACCCAGGATTTGATCCCCGGACCGCTCGCGTGGTGAGCGCGCCACTTGCCACTACACCACTTCCGCCCAAGCAAGAAACAAAACTGCACTACAATTTTTACCTCCCTCTTTCTAGGGCTACAACTTCCTTCATATTCAAGCTTTTGCGCCAAAGTTATTTGATCTAAAAAAATTCAAATTATCCTCAAAATGCAAATTTTCTTATTTGAGCGATCATAACTTTGTTCAAGTGACGTCGATTTCGACAGCTGACTTCAGGGTGACACAAACTTCAGGACTCAAGCTTTCTATAATAAAAAGCAGTCGAAAGTTCCTGAAAAGTCAGCTTCAAAAATTAGTCCCCGTTGCGACTTTTTTCGGAGGGTTCGCGGAACCATTATATTTCTCTGGAACCGCAACGCATTCAATCTTTGAACGATCATAACTTCCTTCAAACTCATTAATTTGGGAAGGTGAATCCGATATGACAAACTAGAAGATTCAATCGTTCTGAGAAGTACCCGAGCGTTCCTGAAAAGTCAGCAATTCGAAAAATTAGTCCTGTTGCGATTTTTTTGGAGGGGGCATCTTCAAGCCATTTTCTTGTGAAGCAGGTTTTTTTTAGGTTTTACTGCAATAACGTCCACGGAATGCAAATTATTGTTGAACACGCGATGTGTTAGAAAGCTTCGAGCATGCGCTTGCACTGATATCCCCTGTCTTGGTGTGCGCCACGCCTCGGCCGCGCTTCTGATTCGCTGATTCATTTGAAAGCTCATTCAGAAGGAAGGGGGTTACAGATGCTCTAGTATCAATTATCTTGCGTAAACGTAACGTGCTGGCTATTATCCATGTTGTCTAGGCAATACTCCAGCTTCAGTTTCATATGTGATTTCGTGGCTGGAATCCATGCCTACCAAGAATCCCACTGCCGGCATCTGGGAGGGTACGACCTCCTCCCTACAAGCTCAACCAAATACGCCCCCCCTCCTCCCATTGATACTTGTCGCAAATAGGGTTGACCCTGCAGAGGAGAAGGGACTGGGTGGCAATAGGATGTATAATAAATGTTTGTCAAGTAGGCGCGCTACCGCTACTCAATGAAGCACTGTCATCTTTGTCTACGATCATTTGCGATGGGCGAGGTAAAACAGAAAAATCATGCTTGCTTTTTGTCCTATTTCTTTTGAAAAATATTTGGCTAGTCTCTTTGGCGGACTGATCTCAGCGGTGAGCCGCAGTGCTACATACAGTGTGACAGGAACGCTTGACCACTTGTGCTACATAACTATTCGTGTAGCGTCGTGACCCAAATAGGTGCCATTTCTGAACATTATTTCGAGTTGACATAATCTCAACATAAAGAAATATCCACTATCAATGAATGGACCATTGCTATCAGTGACTTGCTGCCAACCTTTTACCGAGGAGCTGATGCTGTGTTTCCAGAAGTCAGCAGTTTTAAGCTGGTAAAGGCAGTGACGTCGATTTTTAGTCGTACTTTTTACCCGCAAAATGCTGCTCAGCAAGAAGAGTAGTTGGCCTCTGAAAAGGCTTCGACCTCCAACTAAGCTTCGAAATCTAGAGCGGGGTTACTTTTGAAACAAATGAGCGATTTGAAGCAGGGTCAAGCGTGCGTTGAGGAATCCTCGACATGTCACAGAGGGGGGGGTCGTATTGGCCCGCTGGGGAGAGATCGGGCCCGATTGATACAGTAGGATCATCGTCGGAGGACAAACATTAAGGATCGAATCGATACCAGGCCAGAGTATTTCCAATAACAATTGATTCCGTCCACACAAAATCTTCGTGATTTAGAGGTGTCCGCTTAGCAATTCTTAGTGACTTTAGTGTTTCATCACCACACAAGTCAAAGGATCCGAAATTCGCACGTTTTCTAGGGATATTTTATCTTTCAAGTAGGTCCTCAAATCCAACGAGATGTGAAGCACACGGCGCATCCCAGAGTGGGCCCAGTTGGTTGCGCGCGCTTCAGCTACGGCTATCTTGATAACGAATCTTAATTCAGGAAGAATCAAGAGGGTTCTGAAAGAGTTCATGTTAAATTACAGAGAGGAGTACACTATTCAACAAGAAACGCAGCCTTCAGCGTCAAATTCACAAGCATGTAACCTTTAAAGTTGAGACCCGCTAAACAATTTTACACTTTTTGCAGAGAGAAAAGCACGAGGATTTTGAATCTGCTCCTACTTCAGTATGTAATCGCTCCTGCAAGGAGCTATAGTCGTTGGGATAGTGCTAATGTAGCGAAAAAGTACCTTTCGGCGGTACTCGGGCAAAAATCCTCAACGTGGCCATTTTTTAAATAGTGAACGTATTTAGCAGTTTTAGTTGCCTCTAGAAAGAGCAAATCTTCTAGTTTTATGTTTTATGTTTAAAGGAGGATTGCACGGAAAGAACGAAGGTCGAAGAAGGGAGAAATCGCCTAGTGGGGAGAGCGGTGAATCTCTTGAGGGTGCGGACAGACACGCAATCGGCATCGAAAGATTTGACCTCTGAGATCTAGCATGGCTCAAAGTTGGCGAGTTCGGCGATCTCCGCCCACCGATCGTCTGATCACTCGCCGTAGTACAATAGGTGGCGAGTGATTAGATAGCTGAGAGAGCGTAGGGTTGAAGAGGGCAAAGCGATGAGAGTCCCATCAATGCTCAAATCAACGGACAAGGAAGGGGTCCCATTTCTCCGGTTCTGGGCCGTTTTTCGTGGTTTCGCTTTCTTTCTGGTACTACTCACCATCTCTACCTCAATTTGGAATGGGTTGCTTTTCCATCGTAAATTCGTCCTTTAACTTTCCAGATTGCATGAGTTTGAACGGAGTTATGGCTTTGGAAAGCGTAAAAACTCGCACTCATCACGAATTTTCCTCGTTAATTTTGCAAAAATCCTCAACGTGGCCATTTTTTGAGTACTGGACGTATGAAGCTGCTTTAGCGACCGTTTGATAGAGAAAATCTTCTAGTTTTGTATGACGTATCAACTTTTTGAATTTGACGGAAATGAAGCAAGTTATTGCTCCGGAAAGTGTAAAAACTCGTGCTCGTCTCGAATTTTCCTCGTTATTTGATCTAAATTTGTTATTTCTTATAACTTCCTGTAATTTCAGTACTGATTAGAAAAAGCTCTTCACAAAACTCCCAAATCAGATTGAAAATTCGTAACTTTGAAGAAAGTTATAATCATTTGAATATTTGTTCAAATTTCAATAGTAAATAAGCTGCTCCACGGTCAACGCCAAAGTCCAGTCAACACACAGCTGGCGAAGGCTTTTACAAGGCTTCCTTTGAGCGAAAGGGGGACGTGTAAATTGAGAACCATAATCTGTGTAGTACTAGAATTTGGTAAGTCTTGTGGAGGAAATAAACAAAGAAGAGGTGTTGTCATAGTACGCCATTTCTAGTGACTAGTTTGACGTTTTTTGCTCCGTTTCTCGTTTGCTCGTTTGACAGGACTCGTCATTAATGATCATTCTTTGACTTTTTCACTTTTATACTTTTTAAACGAGTTTTTTTGTGGACGATGGGGTAGCAGGGCTTTTTTATGAGCAGTTTTGGTGGAGAATTAAACAACTTTTTCATAGTTCGGCTTTTAAAGAGGGTTGTTTCATGGACTTCGGCCTTCGGCAGAGGGAGGGGGGTCGTATTTCCGAATTTTCCTCGACGCCTCGCTTGACCCTGTTCGAAGTCGTAGGCAGGCCGTACTTCATACATTATGAGAGTTCTAGTGGAGTTTCCTAAACAGCGTCAAAGCGTTAAATTACAGGAGACAACGGCTGTGCCAGAGGTCCGAAGCGCGCACAGTAAGTTCTCGGTGGCTGTTCGGGCGATTTGCTTTTCGTGAGAAGGCCAAAATGTTTTGCTGAATTTGACAGCTTTCAGCGCCTTCTGTTTGATACAGCCTTTGGTACTTCTGCAGGTGGTAGGCATATAACAACAACCTCTCATCAGCAGCAGCGCCGTTGTTCAGCCACTGCTTCGGGATGGGATAGCATGGAAGATGTTAGGTGAACCACTCATGCGCTTGCTAGCATTATAAAAGGATTTTCTGTCCAAGATTCCTTAAAGGACGAATTCACGCTGGAAAGGCAACCCATTTCAAATTAACTAGGGATGGTGAGTGGTACACGAAAGAAGGAAGAACCATGAGAAACGGCCCAGAACCCGAGAAATGGGACCCCTTCCTTGCCCGTTGATTTGAGCATTGATGCGACTCTTATCGCTGTGCCCTCCTCAACATCACGCTCTCTCTGCTATCTAATCAATCCCACGTATAGATCTGCGGCGAGTGATCAGCTGGTCGGTGGGCGGAGATCGCCAGACCCGCCAACTTTGAGGCATAATAGGTCGCCGAGGTCAAATTTTTCGATGCGAATTGCGCATCAGTTCGCACCCTCAGGAGGTCCGTGGGTTACTCAACTAGGTGAATTACTTCTTCCTCGACCCTCCATTCTAATCGTAAAATCCTCCTTTGAGGCAAAGGAGAACTTGCTAACCGTGTACCCAAAAGGTCTGAAGTGTGACGGTCACATAGCAAAATAAATCCTGTGGGATGCCTCCAATAGAAGAGCACAGCAGGTCTAAATTGAACACCGATTGTCTTCACGGATAAGGATTTTCCTATTCTGTAGTCTCCAGAGTAGGGTAAAAAAACGTTTGGGGGGCCGCAGAAGTGGTGCACCTCAGTGCGAAACCCCCCCCCTCACATCGGGATTTTGATACGACGCCCTCCAACTTTGATTTGATATGAATAAGCGAGTTTCATTGATGTACAGCAAAGCATTCAGTTGTAGAGTTTGCGGGGCGCGGTTTGTCCGTGGGTCAGATTTGCCGAAACCCCGCTCGAAACCATCGAAATCTACACTCTCGATGAAAAGGTTCCATTCCCCCATTTCACAACCTTTTGAGCCATGTGGTAGGGTTAGATAGAGCTGGATTTGCTACTACCGGGCAATATTGAAATTGATCTGAAATCTTTACACTCGAGGAGATAGGGTCTCTCAAATTTTGTCGATGCAGCGTCGAGGATCCCGAATTTTTCATGCGAGTTTTTGCCACTTAAAAGGCAATATCTCTCTAATTTTGTAGGACCTTGAAAAAGCGAAAACAGTTTTTGAAAGCGGAAGGTTTGCGCTTTCTAACAGTATGTTTAGCTTCCTTCTAGGTCCTTTAGTTGAGGAGATATTGCGTCGAGGATCTATCGAGGATGATTCTCGGCCGCTCAAAAAGCCGCTCCCTTCTTCACCATTGCAAGTGTAATTCGTTGGCAACGCTCGAAATGTGTCTAGAATACATTCTTCCAACATAAGCAATAACAAAAGGGGGCCAATCAACATCCAACCGATTTTGTCTGGGCATAGGCCATGCACTCGAAATTGCATAATCGATTGGAAGATTTATATGGACATGACCAGTTGCCAAGAGCTGCATTGTAGTAAACACGTTTCGTAGTACTACATGGTCTGATCTCCTATAGTCCATATGTAGTTACCTGCTGGTAAAGCGTAGCACTGAAGTGATAAGCTTGCCACAGCGGGCGGGATGTTTTTGCAATTTGTGGTAGGGAGCAGCCACACAAATGAGGAATTGCATGCCCATCTCGTCCGGTCTCTACCTTTCGTTCTGGCTAATACCATGTATTAGCTAATATTTCATATCAAAGATAATACACCACCTGTCTCAGTCCAGCTTTTTTTAAACTTCGATAACAACGACGACAAACTGGACGGGGAGGTGAACGAAACACAACAACCTCTCCTTCATATAGTGAGTATGAAAGATTATGAGGGTGAATAAAAAATCGTCTACAGAATTTGCACAGACTAGCCGTAGTAGACGTCGAAGCGGTCCCGCACTCACGTGATACCTTACTTATTTAAATTTTTTTGCGAACTATCGAGATAAACATGTAACTTAAATCGTTAAGAACCGCTTTCAGCTTGGAGCTTTATTATTTTTCAACCAAATATCACTGAACATCCGACACATTGCCGGTCAATCTCCTCACAATGTCAGCCCCAAGCGAGCGTCTATGAGCAAAAACTCACACGCTAGGGGAACACGACAAAGAGCTGCATGAAAAACGTGGAAGAAAGTGGCGTGATAACAACAAGGATGCTATTAAATGAACCTTTTGAAGAAAAGCCGTAAATGGGCGAGTTCTACTCCAGTCAGTTGGCTTTAGTCCTAGAAAGGCGAGCGATGTTTTCGAGTTGTTTAAGGTTCAAGGCGTAGCCCTCGAAGTAGTCGTTGACTAGATACGGCAGGTTGTTTTCGCGGCAGAATTCCTTGACCCAGTCTCATACATGTGTTCAGATTGCATCGGGGCATTGTTGGGAAGAGATGGTGCTCGATCTGGAAAAAGAAAGTATCACGCACGCTTTAACCCTTTGACGACAATGGCCCCACCGGTAGGTGCCACTATGTTCGCCGCGTGGACAATGGCACCCAATGGTGGGTTGCCACCTTAAAATTTCCTTCTTTGTGCATTTAAACAGATTTGTAACACCCCAAAAATCATAAGCAAGTTTGAACTATTTGTGGCTAGCACGGCTTATAGGAAATTTATTAAAGGTATTTAATATGAATGATTTCAAGGATTGCCATTCAACCCGCCAGCATATTAATTGGAGTTGTGCATTACTATACAGAAGATTAACTACCAGTCAGGACTTCTTCGTCTTCTCATAACCCTCAGATACGGGAAGGGGTTTGAAGTGTATCGAAAATTATTTTGGGCGCTCGAACTTTTCAGAGGTTTTATACTACTTCCCTTTAAAACCCGAGTTCCCCTTCCAAATTTGGAATTCTCTTGAAAACAATACAGTATGAAAGCCTAGAACTGCAGTTATATCTGGTATACTGTTAAAGTCAAAAATTCTATAGAAAAACTGCTTTGAGGGACAATTTTGCCCAATTGTGAGCGAGAGTTGGGCGCGCCAAAAAGAGGCGTGGTCCCATGAGCAAGCTACGTGCAAATCCGCATTGTCGTCAAAGGGTTAAAGTACAGCAGGCTTAGCGTGCATCCATAAATTTGAACGGTTATGTATTCCGTTTCTCTAATCTAATGTAGCGTTACTATTTGCTTGTCAAAAATAAAACCAGCCAAATAAGGTCATATTGCACTCCCAAGGAGAACTGATTCCTAAAACCGTAATTAGACAGAAATCACCAGTGGTTGGACGTACTGTAGAGGGTCAGGAATGGCGACGTGAAAAAAATCAACCACCAATCAACCATATTAGAAAGGAAAGCAGTGGTGGAAAAGAACGCAACTGCTTGCCAACCCCGCGTGGGGCTAAGGTAAGGATAATTATGTGGATTCGAACCATCACATCGTCGCAAAAATTCTTAGCCGGTTACCTCTGCCACAGCTCCCACCAAGGGAGTATTCGCGTGAGAATAAGTTATTAATATGTTAGTTAGTTATAACTATAAATCATAACAATATAATATTATTATGAGTCACAGTTACAATAAGTTATGCGCGCGTGAGCCTACTTTCAATATCGCTGTCGGCGTGCCGCCACCTTCCACCCATACCTCAACAACCTGCTCATCGTCTGAAATGCGAGACTAGAAGCTAGATATTACGAACTCATTCTAGCAGACATGAACTACCCACATACAGAAGTTAGTGGTCTTAATTAGAAGGGAAACTACCAAAAGGTTAGGTTACCAAAGATAATAAGACACTAATACAAACGACATTGATGAGACCACCAGTGTCACTTTAGGAGATCCCTGCAAAGGGATTAATGACGTTTATTATATGCAGTGGACCACACTCATGCGTGGGTTGACGCCCACAAACCCACGCGAGTGTGTGTTTAGTCACGTTGAAAACAACGAATAATAAAATATTCAATTTGAAAGAGTTTAGAAACGCTTTGATGAACCATTAATTATGAGCGCTTCTAGCAAGGTCACTGTAAGTGCAGCTTAGTTCTCACATAACTAGAACATACTTGTCGCATTGTGTCATTGAGAAAAAAGCTGCATGTGAAATTTGTATCTAATCTGATCTTGCATTACTTTTTCAATAAATATTGGTGCCGTGTACATATGTATGACAATCAACTGATCCATTCGTTCGTTCTTATTTTTTGTTGTACTCTCTCTAGAGTCACGTATTATGACGTACTGAGCAAGCATATAAATAAACACCAAGCAAACTGGGCACGATGCCTTGCGACTCCAAAAACACTTGCCTGATAATTCAATCCTCCCCAAATCCAGTCGGTGATCGGTCCTGGTGTCATGTTGCGTGTTGTGAAAAGTTGAAGGCAAGGGAAGTTATTGAGCAAACGGGAATTCGCTGTAACAGTAGATGCATTAGTGTATCACTGATAACGCTAGCGCTGTGATATAGAGCAGGGTCCCAATGTGAAAACTAGGTTTTTCGAATAATTGATCAAAAGCTTGTAAAAGTAACTGAGCAGCTGTTTCTTCTGCGCAGCTTGAGAACATTTCCTCAATGCACCACGCAAAGGAGCAGGGTTCCCCCAGGAGGCCCGTCGCGCGACAAAAGGCGAGTCAGCGGACGAGTTGCGCGCGTACTGTAGGGATTTCGTCAAGTTAAATAGAATGTTCCATTGTACGTCCTACATCGCACATCACGCGCTGCGACTCGTCCGCGACTCTGCCTTCTTGCCGCGCGACGGGCCTCCTGGGGGGTACCCCAAAACTTAGCATAGGATCCGCCAGGAATACATGATTCACCTTATCTGTGCTCGATATCTCTCTAACGAAGGAACGATTTTCCCCAAACCTACCGGCGCACCTTAGGGGAGCAGCGTTGATGTACTGCCAATAGATTTAAAAATAAAAATTCACTCCGAAAAATTCACAAATTCCTTTCATAAGTAATCTCATAGAGATGCGGGCGGTTGACCATTTAATCCACACAACGCCGCGGACTCCAATCCCGAGAATTCTCTCGACCTTGCTCGAGGCTCAGGAAAAGGAATAAAGAGAAAGGAAACAAATGAAAGAATGATCTACATGGACCCCTTGAAAGAATGAAAATGGTCAGAGATCTTTCAAGCACATATAGTTTTCGCTAGTCAAAATCAAAAACGAAATTGTCAACTTGTTTAAGAGGCATCGAAAAGAAGGGTAAACCTATGCTTTTGGTACACTGCACATACACAGGATGACTTAGAATGACGCGCGTCAAATCGCTACCATTTCAAAAGTACACAGATTCGGAGAATCTTTAGTGGAATTAGAAGACACTATGGCAAAGAACAACTTCCATAAAGTGTTCGCAAGACCTTATCTTTCCTAAGAATTTTGAAACGCTAAATGACAAATTTGTGGCGCACGAAAGAGCACAGTTCACGTTCGTTCTACCCGATGAGACCTTTTAGAGCGCGAGAAGTGCGGTGCTCCTGTTATGATCCTCCTTGCTGAGTTTTCTGCGCACGAGATGGATTTATCACCGATCTATTGTTCCAGGAGCTGTGGGCACGAGCTCCTGATCCCGGCGTTTGTGGTGGCTGCCGCGACTTCACACAACGAGTTTCCGTGTGCGTCATTCAAATTTGATTGTGCAGGGACGCAAAACAGGCCTCCTTGACATTCAACCTCTATCAGTGCGCGGATGCTTTCAATTCCCTCTAGTTTTTTCCTGTGTTTTTCGATATTGCTAAAGCGAACTCGTTCATGCTATCGTCTAAGAAAGAGCCAGAGCAAGAAAATTGGAGTTCGACATACGCATTTGGCTACGTGACTGCTTGAAGTCTCTCCTCTGTTTTTCGAAAGGCCAGAGCCAGACGATTAGAGAACAGCGTCTGGCTCGGCTTCAAATCCCAAGAAGGAGGTGGGAGCCTTAGGACTAAGCCTTTAGGGGGGAGGGATTCCGGAGTGGGTGAGCCAATTACATTGTGGCAAAGCTTGTTTAGGCGACAAAGCACAGGGGCGCGTATCAAATTGAGGCGGTTGGAAGGATTGACCTCAAGTTATCCGTAAAGCTCGCATCCCAAATACAGTGCGTTGCAAAGGTATATGAGCACCCCTAAAAACTGGTGTTCCGGATTAGGATGAAAGATCCATGGCTTACCCACTCCTAGCTACCTAGTTTATTGCATTCCATGCACTGTAATCACAGTCCACTTTATTTTAGAAGGAAGAAAAATTTATTCTATTACAAAAGGCCTAGAAAAAACTTATAAGGAAGTTTGAGAACTTCAAAAGTAGAGGGGCACACTAAGCAAGAGTACTTTAAAGTAAAATTTCTTCTCAATATCAATTCATTTGAGGTTCTGTGGGCATACTTAGTGAAAAAGGTCAAATGCTTTGCAGCTGTTCATCGCGGCCAATCTCCTCGCTGTATTTAGAATTTTTATGGAAAATCTAGCTTTTTATCGAAATAGACAATACTGGCCGACTCTAAATATCGTGCGAGAGTCCATGATGAAGGCCAATCAACTGGGTAAGCATCACGGAGCAGCTCGACTTGAATTAGCTCGGAGGAAGATGATGACAAATTGTGTCTCAGAAGGTGACTGTAGTGGGTAGGAAGGCTTTTTCATTAAGGTGACCAATAAGGCTCCCTTGAGTTTGGATTGCGAGGAGTAGGTGTAGTTGAGACGAACTGGTATGGATACCACAGGTGATGGTGGGATCCTTGAAAAGATCCACCCGTATTTAAGGGAAAGACTTCAGCTGCGGATTCTACATGGTCTGGGCGGCATTGTGCACCACTGCAGTGCCGTCTCTGGCTTTTGAATAGTGTGGAACGAACTCCAGTGACTACGAGGATGTTCCTCGCTGATCATTTACTGTCGTTCCTAAGTGAATTGCCTGTAAAATTTCATCTCCATTCATATCAACGCCGCCATCCATCGCAGCGGATCCGCTGAACAGTGTTTATCGTCAAAGGAATGAATGTGAACATAACCACACGACTCCCAGGCTAAAGAAGCACATTCGATCCGCTAACCAGCCATAAATATGTGGGAATTTTTAATTTAGGATACCCGACAGGAGGCTCGTCGCGTGGCGAGAAGACGGTGACGCAGGCGGGGCAACGGACGAGCCGCAGTTCGTGATGGTACCCATCAATTTCGTAGAGGAGATAGACACTTCATAGCGATGTATGCAACAACAATGGCTTCTTCATCACAACTTTCATTTGTACAAGTCGTCTTGGAATTATTAACACATTGACGACAACGCGGGGGATATATATCCCGCGCATTGCAGGCCATGTCGGACCGTGCGGGATATATATCCCCCGCACCCATTACACTCATTTTTTTCGCGCACGCCTGATTCTTTTAGAAGTTTCTTGTATTCATTCCATGGAAGAGACCTTGACGTAGCTACAAACATAGTGGCCCTTAGAATGGTCACGTATGCTTTAATTTAGAGGAGGATTTCTGAACCATACGAAATCTTCATTTCAATAAATTTTTCGTTTACTTTTTCTTTTTATTAATGTGAAGATTTAAATAGTAGTAGAAGTAGATAAGGAACCTTAGGGATGACAATATGTGTGTTTTGATTGGAATAATCAACGTAAAATTGCTTTTGAGGTCCATTGCAGCTAGTTCTGAAAAATTTCGCTTTTTCATTGTCATTTCATGTCTTTCGATGGAAATTCCACTACTGTACTCCTGTAGGTTGTGCTCATTACAATTTACTGATATGGTTTTGAATTGATCATTAAGTTGTGTATTTATCACCATGCCTGCTTGAACCGACCAGAGGCGAGCGCGCCCGCAAATCGCCGCGGTCCCACGTGGCCAAAAAAGCCAAACTCGCGTTGTCGTCAATGTGTCAAAACAAATTGTAACAGGTGTGTGGATGAGTCGTATACGACTACGTGCGAACCGTTCTTGGTCATTATAAGCCAAAGCTACCTCCCCCCGCTACCACATGTTCACGTGGTTTTATTTGCTATTTACTTAATTCTAATTGCCGTACAGGGCCCTCACATTATGGTTACAAGTAGACGATTATGTTTTCTTAAAGCAACAGTCCAGGCAGGGTGGGCGTGGTTGGAGACGACGGCAATCCCCTCGGCCGATTTCCTTTTTGGAGCTATACAGCCCCATGAACATAAGGAACATAAGAAGTGTTAGTGAACAAAAACACAACTTGGGAAACCGCTAGGAAGGGAGCTAAAGTAAGCTAAGTCGTAATCGGCCGAAGGGATTGCCGTCGTCCCCAACCACGCCCCACCCTGCGTGGACTGTTGCTTCAAAAGAACAAAAAATTACCTGGATATTTGTCCACGGAATTGTGACTGAATGTTACGACAAAGCGATGAGAAAAGCGGAGAGCAGTTGGGAAACGATGAAGTACATCACACGCGTACCCATCGAAGGGAGCAAGTAGAGTTGTAGAAGCACCCATGCCCAGTGTGCCATCAGCAGGGTCTGAACAGTTTGTCAACAATTCATGGAATCGGCTTATCAGAAACCGTATTGTTGGATGAAAGTAAATCCAATGAAATGGTAAGAGTCCATTTTGACTCCACCCAGGCTCTGCTCTCTGTCAAATCGTAAGTGTTCAAAAGTTGAAGATTCCCGAGTTGAATGGTTTCCCGAAATTTCCGAATTTTCAACTCATGTGAATTGCACTATACACCGGTGTTTTCCAGCACAGGGTTTCCCCGATCCACAAGACCGTGAAATGACTACTGCGCGTGTTTGCTGCTGAACTCATAAATAAAGACTGGGTTACCACGAGTGATCTTCAAGTTACCTGTTCTGCAAGGGCATTCCTTCTGTACACACGGAATTCGCTAGAATTTTCTGCGAACACCCACAGCAACGACTGAGTGGTCCATGAAAACCGGAGGAGAGGCATCGTGAGTGTGTAGTACAGATGTTGGTAAGGAATGAACTGAAAGAGATTCAACAATTATGCACGAAATGTCGAATACAGCGAGAACCACAGAAGTGACTTCTATCTATATCTGCCCGTTATCCCCTCCACCGAGGTCAACCATTACGTCTGTCTTGAACTAGGGTAAACCGTATGCTGGTACACGTACCAATGAAGGGGTCAGCAGATTTTTTCCACGAGGTGGGAGAGGGTCGTAGCCGCTCGCGCCGATCAGGAAGAAAAATCGATATCGACTTTGATATGCAACGGCGAATTAGAAGCACAGCTCAGCGCGGCGGCGCACGCCATGGCAGGGATTGCGAGTGCAATGCGCTCGAAATTCGAGTTATCAGTAACAAAGGGTTGTTTCAGAAGGATTCCGATGTTCCTGAAGTGAATGAAACAGCGGAAGTCACAGTAGTATGAAGGAGGCTTCTAGCAGGAGAAAGAAAAAAGAGAATTTTTACAAATGAAA